TTGCTGTTGGCATGGGCTTCGGCGGCCCCACCCCCTCAGTGCCCGCTGCCCTCGCCTCTGCCGCTCAGCCAGAGGAAGCTGACTTGCCCTGACCCTCCATGTGGCTCTTGGTCACTTCAGAGACGCTGCCCGCCTCCCCACCCCCAAATCCAAGTAGGAGCCCTCCTAACCCACTCCACAATCAGCGCCTGTGGCCCGACCCTCACTCCAGACAGGTCTCAACCGCCCCCCTTTCCTGGGGAGCAGTTGCATTCTCTCCAGTCACCCACTCCAAGGAGCCCTGTCTGCCCCCATCACCGTCCTGTCCTCCGTCTGCCCCCATCAACGTCCTGTCCTCTGTCTGTCCCCAACACCGTCCTGTCCTCTGTCTGCCCCCATCACAGTCCTGACCAAGACCGCCAGGTGCTAGGAGCCTGCTCAGACCTGCCCTGCCCACCTGCCTTCTCCTCCCTACTCCCCACTGTCCTCAAAGCCGGCCCCTCTTTCCCCAAAGACTTTCTGAGCCACTTTCTCCTCCAAACCTCCTCCTGCCCTTGCACCCCGGAGTCTGGGCTACCACACACCCACCTCTCCATTACTTCCCGAGCTCAGCAAATGGCATGTGGAATCAGGCGGGGGGCGGGGGGTGAGCTGCTTAGTGATGGCAGAGTGCAGGGGGCTTTTCTGTTTCCCGCCCTTGCCCCCAGCCAGTGCTGGGTTCTGCCTTTTGCAGCCTAGGCACTGCGTGAACGGCAGAGGCGAGATAAGGACCAGGAGCCGCCGCCTACTGAAAGAAGTTAGTCTCTCCACCCCCTGCGCCAAACCTGGGGCGACCTTTCCCCTAATCCGCTCTTGGGAGGCTCATCCATTTGGCCAGCCACCTGCCAGCCAGCCTCCGGGTTCCTGGACCTCCCGCTCCCTGGACCTCCAGCTGAGTAACTGTAGCTTCCAGGAGACAGGGGACCCTTATTCCCTCGCCCTTGCAGAGAGCACCCCCAGCATCTAACACCCTCGGACTAGGAGTCCCAGCTGCCAGCCCCTTCCTCCCTTGGTCTCTGGAGTCTGTCTCCCCGCCCCGGCCCCAGCGTAAGGGCTCCACTCACCGGACACCCCCCGAACCACAGCATCTCCGCGTGCAGCACCATGAGTCCGATGCCGAGTCCCGCCAGCGCCAGCGCCCAGCCCGCCAGCCACTTCTCCTGCTCCAGCAAGCGCTTTCTCCGCCGCAGGGCCCCCAGGCCAGTCACCAACTCCCCGCCCATGGCCCCGGGGGTCTTGGGGCTCAGCCAGCTTCCTGCCCAGGGTCCCCCACCTCGCAGCACACAAAGGGCAGCCACTGTGGCTTGCAGGTCGCCGGCCACTCTGCTCGCTCTGGGGCTTTTGCTCTGAGGCACAGCGGAGTCCTGTGCCCTCTGGGGAGTGGTGACGGCTGGGCAGGGCCGGGGAGGGGCGGGAGAGGCTCCGGGGTGGGGGGAGGCTCCCCAACCCTCCTCTCCAGACTAAGGAGGGGCTGGGGTGTGTCTTGGGGCAGAGCAAAGAAGAGGCATCCATCCTCATGGATAAAGACACACTGACACACAACGGTCTGCACCGTGTGGTACACACCTACACTCACCACACCCAGACACACGGCACCGTTTGGCCGGAGACAGAGCCCCGTACACCAGGGCGCACAACGAGACCTCCATGGAATGACTCACAACTCCCGACAAGCTCTGAAACCCACAGCCACACCCAGACACCACACATGCGGTGTGACACGGCGGCACTTAGCAAGGCTGGTCGTGCCCCATGGGACACACGTGGCCTCCCAAACATCGTCCACACACACAGACGTTGCACTCGAAACTGTCACCATGTTCTCTGACAGAGTCCCGCCAAAACACACACAGGGTGATGCACATCCATGGCCACACAAACACAACACAAGCCACGTGCTACACAAACACACTATGTATCAACACAGCGACACCAAGATAGCACATGAAACACACCTAGGTACGCCACAGGCTCGTGATATCTCAAACGTTATCCACCTGGGCGTGACGGCTGAGGCGTGGACACACAGCGTTTAGATGCACACCTACGGCAGCTCGCCGTCACCTGCACATGGAGAAGTGACACTGGCACCCTGGTACACGGCGACTCAGACACGTGTTCTCAGAACACACAGACTCGTCAGGACACGCGTAGTGAGAGGAAAATATGAATGGCTACTTGGTAAGGCCAGCGACGTGCAGGGACACGCGGGGAAACCGAGCAGCACAGACTCGGAGTGGCGTCCCGGTGTGTGATGGCCACCGGACATGACCCAGATGAGCTGCAGGAGAGGGGCAGGGAGCTGGACCTGCACGGCCCCCAGTGCCCAAGTGCAATGTACAAGGGCCGGCCAGGTGGCACGGTGGTGAAGGCGGCTGGGTCCCACATGGCTGACTTCACGGTTCAAGTCCAGATCCAGTGGCCAGGCACACGTGCGCGCTTGCCCAAAATCCCAAGAGGAGAACGGAGGACGGAATTTGGCACGGTGACGCCCTGCCACTTTCTCACTTCCTCTCTTTCTCTCTGGTGAGTGCGTGCACCCTCTAGCAAATTATAAAACAAAACAAAAACAAATGCAACACATGCCATTGCCTCTGACCGACACACACACAGGGCCCAACACACACCATGTTCCATCATGCGTGGCCACGCGAACACGCACCTGGGTGGTGCGCGCCCAGACTATGCTCTCGGCCGGGAAGGAAGAGGCCCCTACATGCACCTACCCTTGACACGGGACCCGGGTCACGTCACATGACTGAGTGAGACACGGCATCACACACACAAGGCCCACGAAGTGACCCCACCCGCTCTGACGCAGAGCAGCTAATGCAATGCACAGTGCTGCAGTGTGACCCCCGGCGTGGCGCCCGTGTGGAGTGCGACAGCACGCAGGAGCAGTCATTACACACAGACCCGCACTCCGCACACTGACACAGATCGCCCCCGCCGCAGAGCACGGCACACGCTGACTGGGCACACGGCTCCTCGCACAGCATCACGCGCTGATCCCGTGACATAGCAGGTGGCCTCGTGGACGCCATTCTTGGAGGAGCGAACAGACGAGGCCCTCCCTCTCCCCACGTCCTGTGTCATGCAGGAATATGGACCCGCCAGCCACGGAGAAATGAGACACGCACAGACATGCCTGGCTACACACCAATGCAGCCCAGATGGACACACCCAGATATAGCAAACCACACAGACACACCCAGTGACAGAAACACGACCCATGCAGGTGCCCCCCCACCCCCCACGGAACACACAGACACGGCGGGAGAGGGATGGAGACACTCCTGGGGGCACCCACACACCACACGTGTGTCCACTCATAAAAATGCGGCCAGCGGCTCTCAAGGCTGTGGGCTGGGCTCCCCTGCCCACTCGTCACCCGGTGGCCTGGTTCTATGTCTCTTAGTCTCTTTCCTTCTCTGGTTCTCTGGAGTCTCTCCTGAAGAAGCCTTTGGGTTGGTCTTTATCTCTGTCTCTGGTTGTCTCTCTGTTTTTCTCTCTTCACCTTCATCTCTACCTTCCTCCATCTCTGTTTCTCTAAGTATCTCTCTGTCCATTCATCTCTCTCTGGAGTGCTCTCCCTGTCTTAGCCTCTCGTAGACTGTGTCTCTTGTAGATGTCTCTGTCTTTGCGTCCCTCTCTGGTTTTCTATTTCATGCTCCTCTTCGTCACTCTCTCTCTGCTTTCGTGTCTCTCAGTCTCTGTGTTCTCTTTTCTGTGTCCTCCTCCTGTCTCTAGAGCTGTCTCTTGCTGATTCAACGTCTCTCCCCATCTCTCTGTCTCTGTTTCTCTGTCTCTGTTTCCCTGTCTCTCTCTGCCTCCAGTCTCCCTCTGGGTCTCTCTCTGGGCACATCTCTGCCTTAATCTCTCTGTTGCTCACCAGGATACCTGTGGATAGCATTGTCCCTTCCAGTTCCGCCTGGGCCCCACTCAGATGCCCCTCTCTGGCTCTCAGGCCAAAGAGACAGAGATGGGCCACTGAGAGACAGAGGCCATGGGAGAGAGACCTCCAGCTCCAGCCCCTCTACAATCGGAGAGAGAAACGGCTAGAGCGCTCTTAAGAGGTGTAGCCAGAGACAGGTGGTGAGAGAGAGGAGCATATTAACAAATCAAGAACCTAGAAGTAAAGAGAAGGCAGAAGCCGGAGTGGAGGCCTGAAGTTAGCTAGGACGCGGAAAGATTTTGTCTCCAGATAAACCGCGACGCAAAGTGAAGGCTGAGCATGGCAGATGCGAGCAGGACCGGGCTGGGAGAGGACACCTGCCTCCGCTCGCTCTGGGCCTGGGCTGGGGTC